ACCTCCTCCTGACTCTAGCCTGTTGGGATTTTGGTCATGCACATACACTTGCCTGGCTTGTTTGCAAGCCACCTGTCTGGGATTTACCCTCTGTGGTTGGCTTGTGGGACTTAGCTCCCTTAACTACTGGGCCACAGGGCTGAACCCCGTAAGGTATCTTAATCAAAGATTCCTGCTTGGGATTAGCGAAGTTCACAACATGGGCAGAGACAATGGAGGACCCCTGGATGGTGTTGGTTCTTTTGAAATGAAGTCGTCTAGTTCATTCACACGGGCCCAGGCCCTAGAAGAGCTGAAACATTTTCATTGTAGGGCATAAAGCCAGAGAAATACTTCTTGAGATTAAGGCGTACCGCATAGCCATGTATATCAACGTAACGTGCGAGAGGAGAGACAGAGATGGAGGGAACTGTAGAGGAGCTGGAAGTAGACCCTCCTACACATGTTCAAGTGATTTTTTAAAAAATCGCCATAGGACCTGTGTGCTTGCCAGAGAGGAAAAGTGAGAGAGGGACAGGGGTATCCAGTGGGGCGGAGTCCTCGCATTCCTCCATTTCTTCCCGTTGGATACCCAACGGCACGTGCCCGGTGTTTTTCAAGCTGCCAGGGCTGTGACTTGAACCACAGTCAGCCAAGTGGGATCCAGGTCCCTTACTGATCGTCTGTGGGGCCGGCCCATGCTCAAGTGACATTTTGACAAAGGTACCAAAACAGTGAAGTGGAGAAGAAGATAGCCTTTCAACAGGTGGGACTGGAGCATTCATAGGGAGAGAAAACATGGGCTTCGTGTGAAATGCGAACCTTGTAGACGTGCGAGAGGAGAGACAGAGATGGAGGGAACTGTAGAGGAGCTGGAAGTAGACCCTCCTACACATGTTCAAGTGATTTTTTAAAAAATCGCCATAGGACCTGTGTGCTTGCCAGAGAGGAAAAGTGAGAGAGGGACAGGGGTATCCAGTGGGGCGGAGTCCTCGCATTCCTCCATTTCTTCCCGTTGGATACCCAACGGCACGTGCCCGGTGTTTTTCAAGCTGCCAAGGCTGTGACTTGAACCACAGTCAGCCAAGTGGGATCCAGGTCCCTTACTGATCGTCTGTGGGGCCGGCCCATGCTCAAGTGACATTTTGACAAAGGTACCAAAACAGTGAAGTGGAGAAGAAGATAGCCTTTCAACAGGTGGGACTGGAGCATTCATAGGGAGAGAAAACATGGGCTTCGTGTGAAATGCGAACCTTGTAGCGAAAAGCACCGGAATGTCTAGCATTGAGGGATACAAAGGCAGTTCTAAGACCTGACACCAGAAGGTCAATGCCTAGTAGAAAATAGAGCAGTTATAACTCACTAAAATAAAACGTGTATGTTTAGTGAAAAAACAAGCTACAGACTGAGAGAAGCTCTTTGAAAACCATGTATCAGACAAAGATTTGTATCTAGAACTCAGTAGCTAAGAAAAACCTCCAATTAGAAAATGGGCAGAGGCTTTAAAGGGATGTTTTGCCAGGTTTACAGTTAGAAAATGAGCGAGAGAGCAGGCCCCAGCATTGTCAGTCATCAAGAGATGAGGTGGAGACACTGTGGAGGACTGCCCCAGAAGCGCAGAATGGCTAAAGGAAAGCACAGCAGTCGTTGGCACGAGTGTGAAGAGAGTGGTTCGTTCATGTGCTGCTTTGGAAACACCAAACGGTGCAGTCTTTTGAAGACACAAATATGCAACAGTCTTACGACCCGGCTCAGAAGTGTTAACTTCAGAGACATGCCTAGTCATAGTTCTCCTAACACCGACAAGCAGGGTGTCCCGAGACATGAGCGGGCCGCGCTCAGAGAAGCTGTAGGGCACCCAACTTTTTTTTTTTTTTTTTTTTAATGTACCTAGAAGGCAGAGAGGGAGAAGTACCCTAGTCGTGGTGTGTGGTCGCACTGCACTCACCTCCTCCTGACTCTAGCCTGTTGGGATTTTGGTCATGCACATACACTTGCCTGGCTTGTTTGCAAGCCACCTGTCTGGGATTTACCCTCTGTGGTTGGCTTGTGGGACTTAGCTCCCTTAACTACTGGGCCACAGGGCTGAACCCCGTAAGGTATCTTAATCAAAGATTCCTGCTTGGGATTAGCGAAGTTCACAACATGGGCAGAGACAATGGAGGACCCCTGGATGGTGTTGGTTCTTTTGAAATGAAGTCGTCTAGTTCATTCACACGGGCCCAGGCCCTAGAAGAGCTGAAACATTTTCATTGTAGGGCATAAAGCCAGAGAAATACTTCTTGAGATTAAGGCGTACCGCATAGCCATGTATATCAACGTAACGTGCGAGAGGAGAGACAGAGATGGAGGGAACTGTAGAGGAGCTGGAAGTAGACCCTCCTACACATGTTCAAGTGATTTTTTAAAAAATCGCCATAGGACCTGTGTGCTTGCCAGAGAGGAAAAGTGAGAGAGGGACAGGGGTATCCAGTGGGGCGGAGTCCTCGCATTCCTCCATTTCTTCCCGTTGGATACCCAACGGCACGTGCCCGGTGTTTTTCAAGCTGCCAAGGCTGTGACTTGAACCACAGTCAGCCAAGTGGGATCCAGGTCCCTTACTGATCGTCTGTGGGGCCGGCCCATGCTCAAGTGACATTTTGACAAAGGTACCAAAACAGTGAAGTGGAGAAGAAGATAGCCTTTCAACAGGTGGGACTGGAGCATTCATAGGGAGAGAAAACATGGGCTTCGTGTGAAATGCGAACCTTGTAGGGACAAGCACCGGAATGTCTAGCATTGAGGGATACAAAGGCAGTTCTAAGACCTGACACCAGAAGGTCAATGCCTAGTAGAAAATAGAGCAGTTATAACTCACTAAAATAAAACGTGTATGTTTAGTGAAAAAACAAGCTACAGACTGAGAGAAGCTCTTTGAAAACCATGTATCAGACAAAGATTTGTATCTAGAACTCAGTAGCTAAGAAAAACCTCCAATTAGAAAATGGGCAGAGGCTTTAAAGGGATGTTTTGCCAGGTTTACAGTTAGAAAATGAGCGAGAGAGCAGGCCCCAGCATTGTCAGTCATCAAGAGATGAGGTGGAGACACTGTGGAGGACTGCCCCAGAAGCGCAGAATGGCTAAAGGAAAGCACAGCAGTCGTTGGCACGAGTGTGAAGAGAGTGGTTCGTTCATGTGCTGCTTTGGAAACACCAAACGGTGCAGTCTTTTGAAAACACAAATATGCAACAGTCTTACGACCCGGCTCAGAAGTGTTAACTTCAGAGACATGCCTAGTCATAGTTCTCCTAACACCGACAAGCAGGGTGTCCCGAGACATGAGCGGGCCGCGCTCAGAGAAGCTGTAGGGCACCCACACCGGGCACACGTGTGGGGAGAATGCAGGTCCCTGTGTGTGTGGCTCAAGCCTTTAGGGGGGAAATACACAGGACCCAATGAAGATTGGAAACCGTCTAGTTCATTTACGAATGTCTGAATAAGACAAGAGGATAAAGAATAATGACCTGAAAATCAAGATAATAAAAAGGTCACAGCAATAATAATAAAATACTTACGAGTAAGCTTAACAAAGCAAGTATAGAACTTGTATTTTGGCCACTGTAAGACATCGTCAAAACACAGTCAAGAGGACCCCAAGAGGTGCCAGTTGGTTCTGGAGCATGTGTATGATGTAGGTTCATCGAAGGTGGGAGTGGGTGGTGGCCTCAGGACCCTGTTCAGGCGCTGTGTCTGTAACTGTGTCTCTTGCTCATGGAATAAATTAAAACATACAAATAAAAGAATACCTGAATGAATAGAAATGCAGCCTGTGCTCATGGGCAGAAGAATTAGTTATTACTAAATAGCAGTCCTCCCCAAATTGATGGACAGTTGCAGCAGTATCCCACTCAGAGTCCTGGCTGACTGTGCAGAAACTGACAAGCTGATTCTAAAACACAAGGGCAAGGGACCCAGAGTGGCTGGCACAGGTTGGCAAAAGATGAACTAATTTCGATTAGCACACTCCTTCATTTAAAACGTATCACAGTTGTAGTATACAGTGGCACTAGTGTGCATTCAGAATTTAGAGTCCAGAAATACAGCCTGATGGTTGAAATCGATGGGTCACTGTTTTTGTCAAGGATGCCTGAGAATCAGTGGGCGGGAGCTTAGGCAGGCGCTTTTCTGGGGCCCATGTTGTTGTGCTGCCTGTAATGCGTCCGTTTTGCTGCACGATGTGGCTTTATCCATGCCCCCACTCAGGCTGTGAGGACTGTGTGTAAGCTCTGCCTGCCTGCTTCGAATGCTGCTTCTGTGTCCTTCGAGCACGTCTCGGTGCACACGCAGGCACACTGCTATTGCACGTGTACCTAGGTGTGCGGCTGCTGGGTCCAGGGTATTTGTGAGTTCCCTGGAGTAGATCTGTAGGTGCTTTGGTAGAGCAGTGAATGGAATCGTACTTGATCTGACAGAGGGTCTTGGTGGGCAGCGGACCCCTGGTGCTCAGCCTCGTAGATGAGCATTTCCGGTGTGTGTACGAGCCATGGTTCTAATGTGCATTTCCGTGCAGTCTGGTGTGACTGGACACCTCTCACGTGGTTTGCAGTGTCTCTTTTTTGTGAGCCGCCTGTTCAAGTATCTTGCCACTTTTCTCACATCACCCCTTCTTTCTTACCGGTCTGTGGGCTTGTGTGTTCTAGGGACTTGTGGCAGGCTGTTGCGGGAGAGGGGTCAGTGCTGCTGTGTCACGTGCGGGTTCAGGCACACGCAGGCCACGGCGGGGGCAGTGTTGCAGCTGCGCTCTTCGCACATGAAGTGTCTGTGAAGTCATTGTGAAGTGCATTTACGTGGCTTACCAGTGGGGAAGAAAATCTTAGGTTTTCAATTAAAATACTTTTAGTATATCAATTATAAATGTTACTTTAGCAAAATTTAAATTATAAAATTACCTTCATTGGTTTTACTAGCTATTTCTACTTTGGAATGGAATTGTTTTAATTTATAAGCCTGTATATAGATAATTAATATATTACTCTTTGCAGAATCAAAGAATTCCATCAGACATGGTGTTCCTTAGGACTTCAGAAAAAGCAGGTATTTTCATTTTTATATTTTCTTTGTTCCTGATAATTTAGTATTTTGACAGTTTAATTTTCATTTTAAATGATAAAAGTAAAATTTATGCTTATACAAATTCCACTTTAAATAATAATACATTGAGTTTATTAATTTCTGAATCACATTTTAGTGTCATATGTACTGTTTCTTTAAGAAAACAATCTTGGGTGGCCCTAGGACCTGGTAGTCATGGGAGCTGGATCCCACATGGCTGATTGCACAGTTCAAATCTGTCCCTGGAGGCTTGAAAAACTGGCACGGTGCGTGTATGTGCATGCCTCAGATCCTGACAGGATGGAGAAATGGAGAAGGGATGGTGGTGTGGCCACACCCCGCTGAGGGTGATCAGGCTCCCCATCTCTCTCTGGTAAGTGCATGTGCCCTCTGGCAAAGAAGGAAAAGATCCCATGAGGAGCTCTGTGGCCAGTGAGTGAGCTGACCCAGCTCGTAGTCAGATGGAGTGGGTGAGACCGTGTCAGCGTTGCAGCACTGTCTGCACTGCGGTTCTGGGAGCTCGTAGTCAGATGGGGTGGGTGAGACCGTGTCAGCGTTGCAGCACTGTCTGCACTGCGGTTCTGGGAGCTCGTAGTCAGATGGGGTGGGTGAGACCGTGTCAGCGTTGCAGCACTGTCTGCACTGCGGTTCTGTGAGCTCGTAGTCAGATGGGGTGGGTGAGACCGTGTCAGCGTTGCAGCACTGTCTGCACTGCGGTTCTGTGAGCTCGTAGTCAGATGGGGTGGGTGAGACCGTGTCAGCGTTGCAGCACTGTCTGCACTGCGGTTCTGTGAGCTCGTAGTCAGATGGGGTGGGTGAGACCGTGTCAGCGTTGCAGCACTGTCTGCACTGCGGTTCTCCTCGTCAGTCCAGCTGAGGGCACTCCAGCACTTGTTGTGCCCCAGGTGCTGCATGGCTGCTTAGGACACAGAGGGGCAGGGCGCAGTCACAGTCTTCAAGGAGCACAGTCTGTCATTTGGGAGTTCATCCATTGAGAACTGGTGACAACCCCACTCACTTCATTCTCACTGTGTGTCATGGCGACAGACAGGAGGGCTTGGGGGGCAGAGACCGCTTGGGTCGGGCGTCCCTAGGAAAGTGTCGTGCGTTGGCTGGGGCTCTCCACAGCGAGAGGTGGAGCAGATGGCGTAGTTGTTCAGATGGCTTAGTGGTTATGTCGCTGGACTTCCACATGGCAAGTCGTGGTTTGAGTCCTGGACTCAGGGACTTGAAAATCACCCTGGGCACATGTACGTGGATGCCCAAGATCCCAGGAGGAGAATGGAGGAGAAGGGATTGTGCTGATTTCCCACTTTCTGCCTGTCTCTGTCTCTGGAGAGAGAAAGGGAAAAAATCACTCCCCAGGGGGATGTCCACGCCACAGGCCCTTCTCCTCCGTTTTACTCTCTGGGTTTTGGGCAGGCACATACCATGTGCCTGGCATAAGTTTCAAGCTGCCAGGTCTGGGATTCGAACTGCAATTGACCATGTGGGAGTCCAACACTTTAACCACTATGCCACCTACTGGTCCTGACAAACAGGATACTTTTAAAGGGGACGTTTTACTAAGTCATGTAAAAGAAAAAACTGTTTCTCTTTCCCGGTAGCTGTGGCTGTCTCCGTGTGAGACGAGGCGGTCCCAGTGGCCAGCACGCATACTCCTGCCTGCCGACTGGACACCTGGACACAGCACATCGTGCTCTGGCATCCCAGAGCTTTCACACACTGCAGCAGGCACCCATTCGGAGTAGTCCCATAAAGGGCCTTAGCAAAGGCACCCCTGTATGACTTTTGTCCCCAGCAGATGTCCTGTCACCCTGGTGTGGGTCCCCGCCCTGTCCATCCCTCACCTCCTTTCCCTCGCACACCTGTCTGCAGAGTTGGGCTGAGCAGGCCCAACTGCTGGCAGTGAGCTGGCAGGGCCCACCATGTGGCTGGCCTGCTGTTGCCAGGCACATGCTCCTGCTCCTGAGCTTGACCTGTTCATTTCTTCCCCAAGAGTGCGAGCGAGCGGTTCCAGCAGAGTCCTGGTGCCATAGTCCACCCCAGCCAGAGCCAGCCTGGGCCTGGGCACTCGAACCTGAGGAATGAGGGGCCCACGCCTGAACCTGGAACACTCCCACGTGGGTCTGCCTGTGTTGCATTTGTGACTGCGTCTCTGTCTAGCCCCCAGCTCCTTCACAAAAGTGCTTCTCAGATCTGCCTTCCCACCTGCCCCAGGCAAGTCAGCGCCCCCCACCGGGAGGCTGCCCCTCTCTTGGAGCCCCTCTCGTTGCTGTTGGCTCTTGCCGTCTGGTCACTTCACAGTCTCCAGCCCCGTGACCTCTTCCTGCAGGCTTTGCAGCATGTCTGCCCTGCACCCCACCCCGTTGTAGCCGCCAGCTCCTCTTTGCTTAGCAGCCAAACCTCTTGAACAAGAGGTTTGTTATCACAGCCATGCCCCGCACCCTCTTCCTGAGCGTGGAGTCTGAGTGGTCTCCCTGCGGTGTGGCCAGGCTGTGCCCAAGGCTCTGCCCTGCCTGCTCCTCCAGGTCTCTTCCCTGGCTGTTGTTGACACCACACGCTGAGCTCCTGCAGGGCCTGGAGGAAGGCAAGTGCCCACTCCAAGGCTTTCATGAGACGCAGCTCAGTCCCTCCTGCTGTGGACCGGAGGCCTCAGTCCGTTTCTGTTTAATGTAATTACAGATGGGGGGTGGGGTGGGTTTCAGCTACCATTTTGCCGCTTATTTTGCGTATTTTCATCCCTTTTTTGCCAGAGACGCATCTGCCCAGCAGAGGCATGCATACACACGGGGTGAGAATGCACTTCCTGCTGGGCACGATCATGTCGCAATCCTGTGTCCCCCCCCCCGTCTTTCCCCTTTCTTAGGTTTGGGATGCATGTGCTGGTGCCTCGTGTGTTTCTCAAGCTGTGGGTCTGGGACTCGAGCCGCACAGCTGGCCATAGGAGTCGCAGCTGCTTTACCTGCTGTACCACCACTGGCCTGGCTTTGTGTAGTCCTTGTGCTCTGTCTGTGTCTGTCTCTGCTGCTCCATTACTGCCTTGTTTCACTGTGAGTGGGCGTCTTCTAGTGCCCATGGCAACTCCCTGTCATCTGGATCACTGCGTATTTTTAAAAGCATTCACCCCTGCCCTTGGTGGCTGGAACAGCACAGATTACTCTGAGCTGGATTTAGCACTTTTGCTGAATCAATGACAGTGACACTGGTACAGCGTGTGTGCCTGTCACCATCAGGGAGGACACTGACTCTGGTACACCGGGTGTGCAGAGACCTGTGCTGTCACCATCAGGGAGGACACTGACACTGGTACACCGTGTGTGCAGAGACCTGTGCTGTCACCATCAGGGAGGACACTGACTCTGGTACAGCAGGTGTGCAAGCTCTGTCCTCTCCCCATCATGGAGTGTGATCACACCACAATCCCTTCTCCATCTCTTCTTCCTCTTGGTATTTGGGGATGAGCACGCACACCCGGTGTGTTTTCAAGCTGCTGTCATCGGACTGGGTTGACACCTGGGAGGGTGGCCATTCTTAACAGCCTTTGCTTTTATGTCTGGTGCAGGGACCCCTGCATTGTTTTTCTGCCCTGCTTCTCCTCCTTGCCCTTCTCTTTGGCCCTTATGTCCTCCATTTTCCCATTAACTTTGTTCAAAACTGGATCTGACCTGTCAAGCTCCTGGTTCTTCTCTCCTGCTATGAACCACTCCCGTTCTCTGAATCAATTATTTGATTCTCCAAATCAGAAGGGGGGAGTGTGGAAGGCCGCATATTGGATCTTGCACATGAACAACTGTTTATCCGTTTTGTTCACTTACCCTAACATGGCTGTCTGCTTCTGTAAACCTGCTTGCTCTTCCCATGAGAAAATAACTTGTGCTAGCCATACAGAAAACCATATCTGGGACGACATCCTGTACCTGCTACTGTCTTTGCTAACTAGCCCGAAACCCTTTTGTTCAGCAATGGAACTGCTTACACGGAAACCCCACTCCCTTCAGAAATCATTAACCTGCTTGATTCAGCTTCTGTAACTGCTTGCAGAGAAACTCCCGGTAACTGACCCCTATAAAAAGACTACTCCAACTTCAGACGGGGCTGCAGTTCTGACTCTCGGTCCCCCCACCCCAAGCCTCAGGCTCTAGTCGCTGGCCAGCTAATAAAGATTCCCTCTAACCTTAATCTGGCCTTGGTGGTCGCTCATTCGGTGGCACCCTATAGCAGGACTCGTACCGCATGGCCGGCCACGTGGGGTCTGGCTGCCTTAACCCGCAGGTTGTGGAGCTGGCCAGTCCATGTTGTTTTGTCTTAAAAAATTCACCGACGTTAATCCACCAGTGTGCTAGAGTCTCACCGCAACTTCCAACGTCCGCTCCGTAGGTGTGCCCTTGGACCTGCTGTGTCTAAGTGGTGACCACGTAGCTTCCAGGGCCGTTTCCCAAGAGGCACGTTGGAAAGCATCCTGTGAAATCCTGAGCCTAGAGTCAGGGAGTGGCAGCACGTGCAGCAGGCAGGAACTTGTGGCGCCCTCCGCACTCTGCAGGGAACCAGGGGGCTTGGTGCGCCTCCAGGGGGAGTGGCATCCATCAGGCCCTGTGTGTTTGGAAGCCTGACAGTGACAGTGTGGAGAAGGTACACACACACAGACGCATACACCCACAGACGTGTGCACATGTACACACAGGCACAGGTACCCATACATGTGGCACACACAGGTACACATGAATGTGCACATAGATACATGTCTACACACTCCCATGCACATGGACGCAGATACATGTATACACACAGAGACATATGCATATGCACACAACTTACACGTGTAAAGATAATCATGTATGCACATGCACGGATACATGTCCAGGTACTTACGTGCACATATACACATGCGTAGATACAAACATACAGAGATGTGTGTGCACACACGATATGCAGATATAGAAATGCATGTGTGGGACCAGCAGTTGGCGTTATGGCTATGTCGCTAGACTCCCATGTGGTCGACTGCAGTTTGAGTCCTGGAGCTGGTGGCTTAAACTCATGCCAGGCATGTGTGCGTGCGTGCCCAGGATCCCGAGAGGAGAAAGGAGGAGCCCTATAGCAAAAACCTTTAAAAGAAGTCCACGTGTCACCCACACTGTCCCCCCCTTGCTTGTTACGAACCCTAAGGTGTTCCTCCTATGTTGTGTTTGCACGCGATCCTCTCATCCAGCAGCCCTCCCCGTCGGAGCGTCATGAGCTGTGTCTCGTCCGTTGTGCTGTCCCCACCCCTGCCTTGCAGCGTGCACCTTTGTTGTATTTTGTGTCTCTGATCACCCGTCCCCAGCCTCTTGTCACCGTAAACAGTGCTCCGTGAGTGTTGTGCTTTTGCTGTTGTGTCTGCAGAGTACTGAGAAGAGGGATGATAGCATGGCTGGTGGTAAGGGAGGTTTGTATCAATGTAGGTTTAAAATCTGACACACCAGGTACATTAACGCTCACCTGACTTTAGAATTTAGGTGTGCTTTTGCTACTGAGCACAGATTTTCATGGTAGTATAATGATCTTGTACTAGCAAAATAATATCATACTATCTGATATTTTTGTGTATATACTTAAAATTCTGTCATTACTAAGACATGGATTAAGGGTAGAAATAATCAATGTAGTCTTTTTTTTTTCTTAGAGAGATGTTTGCTATAGGGCATGTGTGCTCACCAGAGAGACAAAAAGAGTCGCTAGACTCCCATGTGGTCGACTGCAGTTTGAGTCCTGGAGCTGGTGGCTTAAACTCATGCCAGGCATGTGTGCGTGCGTGCCCAGGATCCCGAGAGGAGAAAGGAGGAGCCCTATAGCAAAAACCTTTAAAAGAAGTCCACGTGTCACCCACACTGTCCCCCCCTTGCTTGTTACGAACCCTAAGGTGTTCCTCCTATGTTGTGTTTGCACGCGATCCTCTCATCCAGCAGCCCTCCCCGTCGGAGCGTCATGAGCTGTGTCTCGTCCGTTGTGCTGTCCCCACCCCTGCCTTGCAGCGTGCACCTTTGTTGTATTTTGTGTCTCTGATCACCCGTCCCCAGCCTCTTGTCACCGTAAACAGTGCTCCGTGAGTGTTGTGCTTTTGCTGTTGTGTCTGCAGAGTACTGAGAAGAGGGATGATAGCATGGCTGGTGGTAAGGGAGGTTTGTATCAATGTAGGTTTAAAATCTGACACACCAGGTACATTAACGCTCACCTGACTTTAGAATTTAGGTGTGCTTTTGCTACTGAGCACAGATTTTCATGGTAGTATAATGATCTTGTACTAGCAAAATAATATCATACTATCTGATATTTTTGTGTATATACTTAAAATTCTGTCATTACTAAGACATGGATTAAGGGTAGAAATAATCAATGTAGTCTTTTTTTTTTCTTAGAGAGATGTTTGCTATAGGGCATGTGTGCTCACCAGAGAGACAAAAAGAGAGAAAGCCAAGTGAGAAATCACCCCCCGGGGGGCGGGGGTTGGCCTTTCTACAATCCTTTCTCCTCTATTCTCCTCTCGGGATCTTCGGCACACATGCACATGTGCCCAGCCTGAGTTTTTAGCCACCTGGTCTGGGACTTGGACCATGGTTAAGTTCATGGGAGTCCAGTAACATGACCATTACACGATCTGCTGGTCCCACAATGCAGTCTTTTAAAATAAAGCAATAATTTGCATTAAACGTCAGTAGTCTAGATACCATGTAAGAAAATAAGTGATTTAAAAAAAAATTAGTGACCTGTATCTTTTTTTTGGAGAGGTTTTTGCTATAGGGTGTGTGCACTTGCCAGAAAGAGACAGAGAGACAGAAAGCGAGAAATCCCCTCCCGGGGTGATTGCCACGCCACAATCCTTTTCTCCTCCATTCTCTTCTCAGGATCTTGGGCACACCCGCCCAGAGTGAATTTAAGCCACTGGGTCCGGGACTCGAACCGTGGTCGACTACATTGGAGTTCAGTGACATAGCCATTACGCCAACTGCTGGTCCCAATAACCTGTTTGTTCTCTTGTTCTGCAAGTCAAGTAATATAATCTAAATAATGACTGTGAAGGGCCTCTGTCCTCTGGAGTACCCAGATACCTGGTTTCTGAGTCCTGCATGGTGACCTCTGCCGGTTGGGAGCAGCCTATGCTAATGCAGCTCCCAAGTACTGGATTTTTCTTCTCTACTTCCAGGTTCCTGCTTTATCCGGACTGACCAGCTGGACGGGGAAACCGACTGGAAGCTGAAAGTGGCCGTGAGCTGCACCCAGCGGCTGCCAGCTCTGGGGGTGAGCGTGCATCTCCAGTCTTACTTTCCGGGCATTTCTAGGTGGAGCATGTGTCTGTGTCTGTGCCAGGACTTGTTGGGCTTATGGAGGCCCCTTCTGCCCCCTCCCCCTTCCTGATGGAGGGCCACTGGGGATGACCCCACAGCAGGGCCCTGGGGTGCTGGCACACAGCCTGCTCAGGGAACTGTACACACTCCTGTTCGCTCGACACTGAGCTTTTCTTCCTTTTGTTTTTAGAATTTAAAACTTTTCTCACTTAAGTATCTTTCGGAGTTGATGTGTTGGTTACTGGTAACCCGTTTGCTCTCCAGCGGACCAGCGAGGCCCGGTTTCGGGAGGCTGTGGGGTTCTGGCAGTGTGCCAGCCTTGCCCGGGGACTGCGATGCCTGCTCTCTCTCAGGGCAGAGAGCCATCTTGGCTCAGGAGGTGTGCAGTGTCTTTGAGCCTCTCAGACCCGGGGAGGGGGGCGACACTGCCGCCTTCTCACTTCTCCTTTGCTAGGCTTTTGTACCTGGGCTATGTGCAGGGGTCAGACTAGAACAGTGTCTATGTGCATGTGGTCTCTAGAACAGTGCTGTCGCCAGTGTGGAATCTCCTAACCTGATGCACATCATAGGCACACAGCTATGGTTGTGGCCATTCGGTGCTTATTTATTTATTTATTTTTAAACACTTGGTAGCATGCATGTGCTCATGTTCCCTGGAGAGAGAGAGAGAGAGAGAGAGAGGAGAAACAGCACAGCCACGCCACAGCCCTTCTCCATTTCTCCTTTTGGGATTCTGGGCACTTAACGCACATGTACCTGGTGTGTTTACGTTGGTGGGCCCAGATCTTGAACTGTGCAGCTGTCCATGTGGGATCCACGATCCGCCTTAACCCCCTTGCTGGCCCATGTGCTGTTTATTTTGTGTTCGTTTGTATGTTGTTAAAGTGATTCGAATATGAGAAGCTTGAGTTTTACATGCTCTGCTGTTCGGGGGTGAGGAGAGGTGAGACGGAGCTCTGACTACAGCAGCTGTGTGGAGGGGAGGGCGGCTGCGGATGCCCGTCTCTGCTGCTTTCCTTAGTTTCGCTAATTAGGGCAGCAGTCCGGTTCACAGCTCTGCACCGTGCGCGGCCGGACCCTCCTTTTCTCATTTACCGTGGACTTTCCGGAAGCTAGGTACGCCTGGCGTGAGGGAGGCCAGGACGCTGGCAGGCGTTTCAGTGTTGCGTGTGTTCTGTGCCGCCCCCAGGTTGAAATCCACTTCTTTACGTGTGTGAGCGTCTTTACTAAAGCCGATGGGGCACTAATAAGAGTTCGCCTACTTCTCCTTTGTCCGTTTATTCTTTAACTCCGAACAGTGCGGGCCACGTGAGGGTCTGTCCCCGGCTGGATCTGGCTGCAGCTTAGTGGGGTGGGACCCCATGTGCCCTTAGGGTGAGACTAGTCCGTGTCCTGTGCTTTCTTGTCCTGAAAATAGGAAGCCTTGGGAGCAGGCATCCAGATGGGAGCCGTTTCCCTTCGGATAAATCTTAGCAGTAGAATTGTGCAGTAGAAGGATGTCACAGTTTTAGAAAAGCTTCTGGTAGTCCCAAGTCATCACAGGAGAGTTATGCCAGGACATGTCTAACTAGCAGTGTGTGAGTACTCGGCAGTATCTTTTCAAATACGTAAATATTGTAAGAAATCTCAGTTTGAGAGAGGAAAGGTAAGGAGCTTATTGTTCTGGCTTATACTCCTGTGATTACTCCCAGGATGAGAATTCCCAGCACATATTACAGGAAATGTGCATGTCGTGGGCCTGCCTCGTAGCACAGGGTTATGCAGTGCGCAGAGGAAGCAAGTTCCCACGTGGCCACCTGGGGTCTGCGCGCCATCCCTGGGGACTGGAAAACCATGCCATCGCTGTGCCCCAGAGAGAGGACAAGTCGCATTCCTTACTTCGCATCTCCCCCTGCAGATTCAGACAGCAGCAGGTGTGGCCAGCGTCCGTGCGTGGCGGATGCCCCGCGGCATGTTTCTCCTTTGTTTGGTCTCTGTGCACCCTGTGGCCCCATCTGTCCTCAGGTCGCACTGCTGTTCTGGGTCTGGGTTCTCAGCTGGAACCAGGCCGCACACTCAGGGGACTTAGCCCAGGCTCAGTCTGCTGCTTGTTTGGCACGGGCGGCTTTAATTCTCTTTGGTCCCTGCACTCATACCTGTTGTGATGAGTGAGGGGCGGGGTCCCCACTGGGCTGCGACGAGGGGCAAGGCTCTGGGCGCGGCTCCTCTCCTCCCTGTGGCCCTGCTGACTTTGGTCTCCACAGTGGCCCGACCAGCAGGCACTGTCAGCTCCTGAGGCCATCTGTCTGGGCACGGCGCTTTCCCTCTGGGTCACGGGAGCACGTGTGCACAGCTGGTCCTGGTCACGGGACAGTGTTGAAGGAAAGCAGCAACCCACACTCACCGATGGCTCGACCAGCAGGGGCTGAGGTCCGGTGTCTCTGTCTTCACCAGCCTTCTGCTCTCTCCTCTATTGGCGTCACCCTGACGGGCACGTGGGGACATGGTGCTGGCCCTTGTCTCAGGCTCTTGTGTGCTGCCTGTGCATCGTCAGCTTTTTTAGTGACTTCCCTGTAGGACCCTGAATTTTCTGTGACGTGTGCCTGCAGAGAAGTCACTTCAACTGCATTGGCCACACTGTGAGTACAGCCTGTCTGTGCTTGTGGTATTATGTGGGCTGAGATTTCTAATGCAGGGCTGACCACACGTGCTGAGCTGGCTCTGTGGCCTGGTAGTTAAGGGAGCTGGGTCCTACGTGGCCAAACATGCAGTTTGGGTCCCAGACCAGGTGACTTGAGGAACAAACGGGGCATGTGTGCCTATGTGGTCAAAATCCCAGAGGGAGAGAGAGGTGGGGAGAAGGGATTGCAGTCTCCGTTCCCTGCGGGGTGCTTTCTCATTTCCCTGTCCGTCTCCCTCTGGAGGGCACACATGCCCTCTAGCACAAAAGAGAGAGAGAGAGAGGGAGAGTGAGCGAGAGAGAGCTGTGTTTATTCATACTTATCTCTACTCTTGGGGGAAACATTCAGCCTTCGCACTTGGGAGAAAGTTCAGTCTTCTCTTAGTTTGTGTAAAGGTTTGTCATGAATAGGCATCGAGTTTTCACAGATTCATGATCTTACGCTTCTGTTCTTTGTCTGTTTCCCAGTGTAAGGAATTACTAGGGCAGGGACTGCTCTGATCCCACCCCACCAGGCAGACCCTGGACGAGCCCTGTGTGCCATGTGAGCGTCCTCGTTGGCCGTGCTAATGCTGTGCCCAGGGTGTCCCTCTCAGGGCGCTCCAAGGCCGTTGGTCTGCACGCCTTGGTTCAGGACCTTTAGTCTGGCTTCTGGGGCCTGCTGCCTCATAAAATGAGTTGGGGAATCCTTCTGCCTCCTGTTTTGTTGTTGTTGTTGTTGTTGTTTTTGTTTTTCTTTTTTTTTTTTTTGCCATCAGTCATATGTGTTTACTGGAGAGAGAGGGAGGGTGGGGGGGGGGGGAAGGAAGGGTGGGGGGGGGGGGGGGAAGGAAGGAAGGGTGGCAGAGTGAGAAGCCATCCCCCATAGGGATGGCCTTCCAACTACCCTTTCTCACTTCTGCTGGGATTTGGGGGACACACAAATATTTAAGCCTCCAGGTTTGAGACTTGAACCAGCCAGGCGAGAATCCATCACCTTAATTGCTACAGCACCTGCTGGCCCACTCTCCTATATTCTGAAAGTAGTTGGTGTAAAATTGGTCTTTTCTAAGCATTGAACAAATTTCCCCTTGCAACCATCTGGTGTAGGGGTTTTACTTCTAGGGGAAGTATCTAATTGCGAATTGAGTTTCTTTAGTAGAGCTAGTCAGATTTTCTGTTCATTGAAAATTTGTGAGAACCAGTAGGTGGCGTGGTGATTAAGGCACTAGACACCCACATGGCTGACCCCGGTTTGAGTCTCAGACCTGGTGGCTTGAAAATCACACCAGGCATATGTGCGTGGTGCCCAAAATCTCCAGAGGTGAATGGAGGAGAAGGGATTGTGGTGTGCTCTCCCCCCCCCCGGGGGTGATTTTTCCCTTTCTCTCTCTGGTGAACACACATGCTCTATGGCAAAACCTAAAACAAAAAAAGAACGTACTTTTCAAAGAAGTTTTGATTTCATGTAAGTTGATAAATTAATAATACAGTTGATGATATTCTAGTATTATGTTTTGGTGGCTGCAAGACCCCCTCCTTCAGTTCCCATACTGGTACTTCACACGTTCTCTTCCTCCCAGTCTAGCCAGAGGTTCAGCTATTTTACTGATCATTTCAAAGAACTTCCTTTGGTCTCATTGATCATTATTGTCTGTTCATATTCCATGTAATTGAGTTTTGCTTTTTATTTTCTTCATTCTATTTTGTTTGTGTTTTCTTTTAGAAATTTCTTAAGAATTAAATGAGTTTTTCTTATCTTATAAGCTTTTTTTAAAAATTATTTATTTAATTTTGTTTATTACTATTTTTAAAACTTAAACAGAGAGTGAAAGAGAAAGTGAGAAAGCAAGCTGAGACTTGAACTAGGTTCAGCCATGTGGCAGTTCAGTGCCGTAACCACCATGCCACCCTTGGGTCCTTCTTAAGCTTTTATAGCTGTCAGTTTTCTAAGCATTCTTTTTTCTTTTTTTTGAGAGGTTTTTGCTATTGGCCGTGTGCACTCGCCAGACAGAGAGAGACAGAAAGCGAGAAATCACCCCCCAGGGGGGATGGTCACGCTGCAATCCCTTCTCCTCCATTCTCCTCTCGGGATCTTGGGCACGCACGCACATGCGCCTGGCGTGAGTTTTAAGCCACCAGGTCCGGGACGCAAACCCTGGTCGACTACGTGGGAGTCCAGCGACATAGCCATTACACTAACTGTTGGTCCCTTCTAAGCATTCCTTAACCCGTGCCACCGTAGTTTGGATAAATGCGCTGCTTTCTGATGGCATTTCGCTAATATTTCCCAGTCTCTTGTGATCTCTTCCAGC